CCTCCCGAACAAGACGGTTTCCGAAAGGGCTTTAGCACCATAGACCACATACATACCTTCGGCAAATTGTACAGAAGTCCGAGGAATACAATTTGCCACTATTTCTGGCGTATGTGGACTATGAGAAAACCTTTGATTCCGTCGAAATTTGGGTGGTGCTGCAGTCCCTTCAGCAGTGCAAAGTTGACTGTCGGTATATCGAAGTGCTGAAGTGCTTGTACAGTAGGGCTACGATGGCTATCCGAGTACAGAACCAGAGTACGAAACCTATCTAATTGCAGAGAGGTGTAAGACAGGGTGACGTTATATCCCCGAAACTCTTCACCACTGCATTGGAAGACGTTTTCAAGCTTCTGGACTGGAAAGGATACGGTATTAATATCAATGGCGAGTAAATCACTCACCTTCGATTTGCCGACGATATAGTCCTTATGGCAGAATAGCTGGAGGACCTAAGCACTATGCTCAATAACCTCAGTAGTGTCTCCCAACGGATAGGTCTTAAGATGAACATGGACAAAACAAAAATCATGTTGTCCGTAACGTTGTTGGGAGCACTAAGCTCGAAATTGTTGACGAGTATGTTTACCTGGGACAAATAGTCCGACTAGGTAAGTCCAACTTCAACCGAGAGGTCAATCGACGGCTTCAACTCGACTGGGCAGCGTTCGGGAAACTACGACACATCTTCTCGTTAGACATACCTCAAAACGAAATTGTACAACCAGTGCGTGTTGCCAGTGGAGACTTACAGTTCTGAGACGTGGTCCTTCACTGCCGGCCGTATGAAGACGCTCAAGCTCGCTCAGCGAGCTATGGAGAGGGCTATGCTCGGGGTTTCTCTGCGTGATAAACTTAGAAATGCGGATATCCGCAGTAGAACCAGAGTAATCGACATAGCCCAACGGATTAGTAAGCTGAAGTGGCAGTGGGCCGGCCATATAGCTCGAAGAACCGACAACCGATGGGGAAGAAAGGTTCTCGAGTGTCAGCCTCGTACCGGTAGGCGAAGTGTAGGGCGACCCCCCACTAGATGGAGTGACGACCTGGTAAGACATGCAGGCAGTCGATGGATATAGGTGGCTCAGGACCGTGCTTTGTGGCATTCCTTGAGGGAGGCCTATGTTCAGTAGTGGACTTGTGAAGGGCTGTAATGATGATGATGATGATAGCCGTTTTTAAATAAGACTACGGGGAGCGAATACAAGAATTCGACCAAAGACATCTGCAATTATTAAGGACCTCACCGAAGTAGCTTGGTGATTATGAACGACGTAATTATATACGTGATGTGTGTGTGTGTGTGTGAAGAATATATCCATATCTCATTTTAAGGGTGCTGCATACGTAACGAGTTTTATTCCGGATGATGGGGATGTCAAATTTTTGAAATACCGTTCCCTAGAAAATGTTCCGTGCACGTGCTGATTCCGTCCTGTGTGCAGCGACCTTTAATCTACAATTTTACTCACTCCGCACGTAACAATAACAACACGGAAAGATTTTTCTACTCGTTATATAAATACATCAAAGAATCACAAAAAATAGATTTTTATCTGGTACACACATATTTATATAAAACACGTTTACTCAATATTGTACACATTTTGCCAGACAGCTCACGAAAAAGGTATTGCTCCAGTGTGTGTTTTTAAATGTGTTTGCAAATTACTTTTTGTTATACATCTGTATTCACAGATATTACACGAAAAAGGTTTTTCACCGGTGTGTATTTTCATAATATGTGTTTGCAAACTACTTTTTCTAATACATCTATATTCACAGATAATAGGTTTTTCTCCAGTATGTATTTTCATATGAGTTTGCAAATGACATTTTCTATTACATCTAAATTCACAGATATTACACGAAAAAGGTTTTTCTCCAGTATGTATTTTCATATGTGCTTGCAAATTACTTTTTTAAATACATCTGTATTCACAGATATTGCACGAAAAAGGTTTTTCTCCAGTATGTATTTCCATATGTCTCTTCAAATCACATTTCCTAATAAATATATGTTCACAGTACACGAAAAAGGTTTTTCACTGGTGTGCATTTTCATATTATGTGCTTGCAAATTACTTTTTCTAATACATCTATATTCACAGATATTACACGAAAAAGGGTTTTCACCGGTGTGTATTTTCATGTTTTTGCAAATCACTTTTTTTAATACATTTATATTCACAGATATTACACGAAAAAGGTTTTTCACCGGTATGTATTTTCATATGTTTTTGCAAACTACATTTTGTAATATATCTATATTAGCTTGCTACATATATATTTATCTATGATCTATATTCACAGCGTAGATGGAGGATTGACTAGATAAAGCATTCGCGTATGCTTTTGAGATAGAAATAGGCGGGAGGTACTTTCACTGGGTTACCAGATAGTGTTCCATTTCCCCCGTTATGGGTTTATTTATATTCACAACACTTACATTCATACAAAAATTTTAATTATTACCATAAAAAAATGTTCTTTTATAATTCAGATGATTAATTAATTTCTCTTGAAAATACATTCTGTGGCTAAAAACTACGGGCGAAACGGCGTCATTTGACGGCGCCGTTGAAGACAGAATCATCATTCTGTATTCAACGGCGCATCGACGATTTTACTGGACATTCAATAACTCTTTGGATTTCGACGGCACCAATAGCACAAAGTGTGATATCGCTAATAAATAACAATATGTTATGTATGTACTTAAATATTAATTGAGCGTAAAAATATTAAATAATAAACAAAAATTTCCTTCGTCGAGTTTTGTTGTTTTTACAAAAAAAAAATCAATAATGTTTTAACATATCATTCCATCACAAGTTCAGTGCTGAACACAGACCTTCGAAAGAAAAGGGTTTCCACTTAGGTTTTGTAGTACAAAACACGGTTATTGAGCCTACTCCCGCGATTTCCTGCATGTTTTGCTAAGTTAGTGTCTTGTGTGCGGCAAGTTGTGGCGTACAAGAGAATTTGTCTGTGCACGGGATGATATTACCGCGCGTCGTAAGCAATAATACAAGATGGGGATGAGGCAGCAGCACTTTCCCGATGAAAACTTAAAATAATAAAAAACTGCGGTGGCCAACCAACATAACACATATTTAAAACTTTGTGAGGTTACGATTGTATGAATACTTTTAATGAGGCCTACAATAACTACCAACTGAAAAATAAGTGAACTTAGTAGGTTAGAAAGATTCTCCCTGCCTATCCCGCAAATGAAAAAGTGAAGCTATAGTAGTACTGCATATATAAGTCGTTTTCTTCATAAAATGTTTTTTTTAACAGTTCACAATAACATTACTGAGTTATAATAATACAGCTAGTTTTAGATCATTTTCTATGGAGTTGTAACAAAATTTTTACTAATCCAAGTGCATTTTATAACGACGGTCGATTATTACTCGTTAAGTTCTTAAATCTACTTAGCTGTGATGTTTCCTTTTAACTTCATTTTATATACTAATATCGTGTATACTTTCATATTTTCAAAAACAGCTGTTTTGGTTTAGGAGGGGGGACACATGACTCCAATAAAAATACCACTTTAAAGCTGTGTTGAACCCACAGTGTTTTTGAAAGATCTATCCAACGATACCCCACACGATGGAATATACGGGTAAAAAGTCACCCTCCTTTTACTTGTATGGGAAGTACCCAAAATAAAATGTTCTTCAAGATTTTATTTGTCTTTTAGGCTGTTATTGTGTGATTGATATCTAACTATGCCATATTACAGATTTATAGCGCCTAGGGCCTCTGAAAAAAAACCGCGGACGGACGGACGGACATGGCGAAACTATAAGGGTTCCTTGTTGTGTAACTACGGAACCGTAAAAATAATGTTTTATAATATTGTTAGGAATGATGGTAAAAAGATAAAATGAAGAAATGCCGAAACCCGTTCTAGCAGTATGAAGTATGACGCAGGCGACTAATAGGGATCAATCGGTAATTCTACGAGTTTCACTGTCGTTACTATGCCCGCTGAGGTATTTATAGGCAAGGAAGGTCGTGTTGCTGAGTGGCTCCCCTGTGTTACATTGAGATGGGGTAGTGTTGTTGTTGGTTTGCATACTTTGGTGTCATCATATAACTGGGTCCTTCACGTTACACAGGTGTGTGATTGTGGGGGGAACACGTTACGGCTAGTCTAGTTAGGCTAGTTTCTTGCTGATAGTGATCGAGAGAAAGTTGAGCATCCGCTCTCACACCTTTGTTATTTTGGTAATTGGCATCCAGAATGTTTTCTAATAGTAAGGAGGGTTGGTTACCGAGTAGTGTTCTTGTATTTAAATAATATTGAGGATAATTTCTAACAATATTCCATTTTAATTTACCATTTAGTGGCAATGTAAGATTATCTACGACCTCATATCATCCCATGGGTGTTGTATGAGGCGACATAGGGAAACAACAAAGAAGATAAACAGCAGTATTTTCCTTGTAACAGCTGATTAAAAAAAAACAGTACTTGTAAAGATAAAAATACTCTATTTAAACAAATAATTGAAATTGAAAAAGGAATTGCGTGCCTAAACAATATATAGGAATATTAACAACGTTACATTAAGTTACGGTTACCAACTCCAAATTAAAAAAAAAAACTAGGATTTGAAGTTGGAAAAACCAGGATAATTCAGTTTAAAAACAGGACGCAGTAAAGGTCTTGTCAAACATTACTGCGAACCGAACCAAACCGAAAACATAGCGAATGTATGTACTATGTATGCAAGTATCGGTTCGTTTTCGTTTTCGCTTCGCCACGCTATCGATTCTCTGTCTAGTGTTTATCTCATCAAATAATTTTTCGTCGTTAATTTCAATGCCGTGATCTTAAAAATACACGACTTTATCAGGACGCATTAAAAACCCAGGACGATGCTTAAAAACTATCCAGGACATCCAGGGACACTACAAAAACTAGGATGTCCTGGGAAAACAGGACGGTTGGCAACCCTACATTAAGTAAAACAAATGCAATCACAATTCTAAATTAAATGTAATTCAATAACATAAAAATAAACAAAAGACAATTTATAAATTTTTCATCACATTAACAAATCACAAAGTCAACAAGAACAAAATAATATGAAAGTAAATACTTATATTTACAATTAGATATATTGGGCATGTAATAATAATAACCAACAAAATAAAAAATAAAAGCAGAAAAATTTGAAAGTAAATACTTATTTCTACAATTTCTTCAAATTCTCAAAACGTTAACATCACCACCAGCACGGGATACACCCTGTTAATCAACAAACGGGGCTCTGGCAACTGAACAGGCGTTATACATATTCGAAAGCGGTCAGCCCACATCCCACCAACTAATAGGGAAGCAGCATAACACTAACGATGGCGAGCAGTATTATCAGTGCCCTGCGTAGGGAATATACGCGAACGTTTTAAATAATTCATGACAGTTGACATCTTCATAAATAGTATCCCGCAGTGGCCTTTTTTTATAGGATAGGGTGACAAACCAACACACAGTCCACTTGATGGTAAGTGGTTACTGTGACCCACAGACATCCACATCTATCCTCAATAAAGAATCAAAATGCAGATGCATTGTCATCCGTGAGGACTAAGATGGAATGCCTCTTTTCCAGTAAAAAGGGTCTCCGGTTCTTTACACTCACCACACGAAACACAGTGTTAGGCTGCTATTTTACGCTGGTATTTTGTGAGAGCCTGATCCTCTCCCGGTTGAGCACTCATTTGTGCGACAACTATACTACTAATATAGCTGCAATATGGCTCTACCACGTAAAAAGAATGACTGTATACTCATTGCCCTTTAAATATAATTAATTTTGTGTAAAAATTCCTAATTTTCTCGCCACTTTCAACAATTTTTTTTGTAGCATAGTGTATGCGAGCGTTCAAGTAATGTTTTGAAATACACTTAATTAAAAGAGGGTAATGATTATATATAACTCTTTCGGTGAAGTGTTCATCTGAAAATAAATTTAAATGTAAACATTTTTTAAGACATTGCTGCAAAATATAGTGCATTGAATTTTTTTTCCCGAACGGTTTATTAGTTCGGTATATTTTTTCTGCAATTTCACAAATTAAAACCACTTCTTTGGATGGATAATGTAATCCCCCTTTATCTTTTTTTAACTGTAAGATTTTATATGGCTCCGGACTAACAAGAGCATCTAAACACTTAAAACATTTTATTTCTGACTGCATTTTATGAACAACGAATCCCGCTATATAAGTTATGACTTGTCGTGAAAATTCAGTTAAGATGGTAGGATCCATAACATAATCGTGATCACTTGGTATAACTGTAGAGTAATTTCCTTCAGTGGCGGTTTCCGACTCAATACAACGATTTCCAATAGTAGTGGCATTCAATGCTATTTCTGGTCGTGTAGCAGTCAAAATATTTATATCATTCAAAGCAACACAATTACCTGTTGTGATGTGTTTTAACTCTCCGTGGACAAGCATTCTTTTATAAGCCGCTTTAAACTGACGCGCAGTAGGATTATTATTGTAACCACCCTTTGCTCGGATGGCACTAAAAAAACATTCTATGTGGTCTTGACTTAGCTTGTATGTACAAAGAAATTGTATTTTTTTTGGTTGGACGTAATTTTCATAGAGAGAAAATAAGCTTTTGATACATAATAGAAAACCAAAAAAACCTGTCTTTCTCTGAGAATACAAAATAAGACTATCTTCATACTTCAAATTTTTTATATAATCATACAGATCATTTAAAAAAGTTTGTATATGATCAATATTTTTTTCAGAAATTGGTTGCTTGTATCCAAACGCTTTTAAATTTCGAGAATTCATCACATCAAATAAGGCATTGATATTTCGGATAAATTTAACTGTTCCACCACAATCTGAAAATTCATTTAAGTTCAAGTTGTCCCTGCAAAATTCAAGGGCATCTGCAACAGATTCACTAAAAACTTGAACAGCCAGCTTAACTTTCATAATTTGTTTTCGGAAATTTATACGATTTTTTGATAATTTATTACCCAGGTGAAAGCCTTCATTTTCTTGTAAATCAACAAGACGTTTTACATAGTCCCAGGATATTATCTCACCCTCAGCAGAAATTAATTTATTTTTGTCACCTAGAGCATTCCGTACTAATTTTATCATGTGGGAAGGATCTGGAAATATAACAACTTTTTTTCCATTATGATAAAATGAAGTATCAAAATTATTAGCATCTCCATCTAACTTGCATCCCAAAACTTTAGCCATAGAAAAATTGGCGGCGCATCCGTCAAACGTTACAGATATTAAATTGATGCCACAGCCTTCTACAAGGTCAATACAGTGTTTGACAAGAGCAGCCTTTTGTTCTGCAGTGATGCTATTGATGTTAAAATAACCTATTGGTATTTTCCAAGTGCCGTTGACGCAGGTCAACATAAATGTCAATGCTTCCTTGGCAATCGGCAATTCATCATTTTCTACATTATTTCCAGTATTAGCAAAACCAATATAATTTTCTCCGTCCCACTCGACATGTTTACGGATCGCCATCTCATCGAAGCAAAGAGCGGCATATAATTGTTTTGAAGAATTTTTTACTAGGAGCTTAAGTGCATCCAAAGATTCCTTTGTAAAACCAGGTTCTCCATCGACGCATTGATACCAGCGTGTCAATGTCTGTGGGTGCGGCAAACAAGTATTAAAACTTTTTCGCACGAAGTCGTAAGCTCTAGGACTTATGAAGTGTAGAGTCAAGGCAAATTTTCTTAATACTGGAGAGTATTTTTTGCACGACGAAATGCCTAAAAATAAAAAAAGTTAATAAACTTAAAACAAATATAATGCAGTATGCAGCAGCGTATTTCGCACTAGCTGTTCCCTGCGACTTCGCCCGTGTGTAATTTAGGGTTTAATTATGTTGCGCGAAACTCTAATTATTTTTCTAAAATATAAGTAGCCTAAATTACTCCTTAAAACATCAGCTATCTACCAGGGAAAGTCCCGTCGAAATCGATCCAGCCGTTTCGCAGATTAGCCGGAACAAACAGACAGACAGACAAAAATTTTAAGAAATGTGTTTTTGTTATAAGTACCATATATACTTTCATATGTATTCGTAAAAAGATGTTATTTTGACATTATAAACAGACACTTCAATTTTATTTATTTGTATAGATTATTACCTGCTACTCTTTTCAAAATATCCTTATTTATGGGATCTATTGATGCTAATGCATCAGCAGTTTCTTGATTTATAAGTGATTCAGCTTTTAAGACTTCTATCACCGATGAAAGATTGGCGTTCTTTTTTTGTAATCGCCATGATTTTGAACGAAGCACAGCAATTTTTTTCTTTTGTTTATTTGTTAAATTTGTTTTTTGTAGCAATTTATACTGTAATTTTCGTTTGCGCGGCGAAGTCTCTACTGGACTTTCCAACTGAGGCTAAAATAAAATTATCACTTCATAAATCGAAAATTAATAGAATAATTTTAATAAAAAATTTACCGTGTAGTGGTGGTGTAAGAATACAGTGAACATTCTAACACCGCCACTAGCGCAGGGTCTCCCTAATAACAACTAAAAATAAAAAAACTGCGGTTGCCGACCCACTTACCAAGCGTGGAAACTATGAAAAATATTCCCCCTATGAGGCAAGCTATAGGGGAGGGCTATGTTTAGCAGTGAACTTTAATAGGCTGTTACAGTAATGGTAATAATAAATTATGATAAATTTGATAAATGTGTACCTATATAATTTCATAGGCATTTAGTAAAAAGCTGTTATTTAGACATTACAAACAAATACTTCATTTTTATTTATTTATATAGACATAATATTCATGTATTAAACATATAAACCTATCTATAGATGAAAACCGCATCAAAATCGGTGGCGTAGTTTAAAAGATCTAAGCGTGCAGACAGCGGGAAGCGACTTTGTTTTATACTATGTAGAGATAGAGATAACTGTCTTTCCGTTCCATTAAAAGATAAGAGCGAATAGGCTTTTGTTACGCTAAAATAGTGCGATTACATAGATGTAGAGTTTAAACATGATGTATTAATCGTGAGCGATTTGGCCGTTTGACCTGGGTCTTGAAAGTGTATTGATGATGGCAACCATTTATTTCGAACGATCTGAAATAAACTATTGACAGAACCTCTTCAACCCGTGACCTGTGATTTGCGCGTATTGTGAATTACGCGACTAGTCGCATCAACCAAACTGTACTAACATTAAAAGTGCAGAATACTATAGAATAAATATTGAAATAATAAAATGTATTTCCTTAAGTTCGATCATAACCTGCACTAGTAACCGACGAGCGACGACCAACTGAACCCAGTGGGTCTTAGAGATTACAGACTACTGAATCCCAAAATGATCCATTTGAATGATCGACCCAAATGACCCGTTTCATATGACGAATCAATACTTAACCAATCGGGTCACAAGAAATGAACGATTTACTTCTTATATCTACTTAGGTCGGAATGAAGCCAATCATGAGCTTATGCTTCATTAGAAATTTATTTTACTTACATTAACCGGAGTTTTTGTCATCTTTCTAGAGCACGCATTATAATTGTTGGTTTGAGTAGCTATAGAACTTCTCAAAGATTGAATTTGATTTCTACATTGGCATGGCAAAGATTCATGGGTGCTGGTTGATGGAATCGGATTCGAAGAGAGCGGTAGTTCCGGTTTGTTCTGAAGCAAAGAGAAAACAATGTTTGGAAGTACCTTAGGAAGGAATAATGTTTCAAAGTATTTTATAAACCTTTTTTTGTGTTTATTTATTTTGATTAATTATTTTGCGTTAATATTATTACAGAGTTCTTCTTCAATAACAGTCATTACTTATATATATATATATATATATATATATATATATATATATATATATATATATGTATATATATATAATTTATTTTTTATATATTTGTAAATAGGTTTTTTATATATTTGTACTAGTGCCTATCTCTTGTCAAAACATCTTTATTACATTATTTAAGTCAACTAAATGGAATTTATCATAATTATAACATTTATTTATACTTTATTGTTTATAATATCTTAATAAAAAGGATTTCAAAGGGTTTTCCCTGATGTCAGTTTAACACTATTACTGCATAATAAATTGTTAGAATAGAATAGAATAATTTTTATACAATATAGTTGTAAAAGTGTATACATTGCCTCTTTGGAGTCAAGTAACTGGTATAACTAACTTGTGCTTGTTCCTAGCATTTAGAGAATGTACTATTTTTAATAAAAACTAACTGTTCATTTATATATTTAGGTCATGTCTTAATTTATTTTCTTGTGGCCAAACTCATGTGTAAGGCAATGTAAACAAAACAATCTTAATTATAAATTTTCTATTTATACTGAATTATTTTGATATTTACTTGATTTTGATAGTTACATATGAAAATTAACTGATAAAATTTTGACTTACATGTACATAGAGCTTTGGAATGGATCTCAAACTAAGCAACGTTAAACATTTAGTCCGCCTAAAACAATGTGGTTCAAAATGTTTTGAGCATACCCGGCTATGTTTTGTTGGTTGCCAATTATCACGACCGGTAGCAATTATCCAACAATTACGGATAGCTGATTCCTTAGGAAAGCTGTAAAATAATATATTTAAAGGAAATTAATATATTAAAAATATAGTACACTTTTATTACAAGGTTTTGATTTAGTAAATAATAAAAATTATATGTGCATAAAACCAATTATAACAGTAAACACAATATCAAATTATTTAATTAAGTAGCAGTGATATGTAAATATAATGATAATATTATTTATACCAAATATTTTTTAAATAATGTACATTTTAAACTTTAGATGTTGTTCATTAATACATTTATTATACAGCCTAACAAATGTCCCCCACAGCTGAACATAGACCTCTCCCATAGTCTCTCTGCAAAATAACAACTAAAGTTAACAAGAACTGCAGTTACCAATCCTCCTGCAAACCGAGGCAACTATAACATAATCTATATAACAAAATCTATATGGCAGGCTTATATTCAGCATTAAGATTTTATTATTTATTAATTTATTTGTTTTTATAAATAAGTATGACATATATTTTTTTTTAATAAATATTGTAATGTAATTGTTGCTAATGTATAATAGAATTAATGGACTGCAATAAAGTTTTGTGCATCTGATTTCAGGCAGAACATATTTTGTGACATTGACATTATTTTATCCAATATATATTTACTTGAACCAAAACATGTTTTCAGGTCTTATTAATACTTACTTACATATTAATAGTGACATCTATGTAATATAGAAAATCATTGAAGAGTTTTAGAGCAAGGCATGAAGGTATCTTTTAAAGCTGAACTTTAAAGTGTACATAAAGTGTATGTCATTAATTTATGGACATACTGATCACTCTAAAATTAATTTTGAAAATGGGAAAATATTGTACTCGCTGATATCCCTAAAGTTTCTATAATCCTACCAAATCAAAAAGCACATGCTTGATTAGACTTCAAATTTTCTAACGACCTTTCAAATTAATTAGCATTATCATGAAGAATTTATGATTTGGGAGTCCAAATATTTAATAAAATACTTTACAAAGGACATTAAAAACATGAAATGTTACATTTTTATATTCAAAACACTAGATAGTAATCAATACAAGTAGCAAATGTAAGCACAAAAGAAACTTACCGATGAAAGGTAATATTATCACTCTTTCGTTGACTGATGCTGTTGCATCCTAAAATGCTACAACTAACCATCTTTTTCACCTTACCTAATAACTAAAACCCACAAAAAACACAAAATTCAACTACCTGTTTGCTTATAATATCAATGTTATTCACAAACGCTTGACATCGTTAATGTCAAATAAAGGAGGGAAAACAATCAAAAACGCATACGTAGAAAAAGACAAGAAATTTAGATTTGCTTCTCCCTTACTCTTATGTCTAACTATATACGTGCATTCCTTTCACACGCTGATGACGTCACTGAATGTTTAGTCTATAAGATACTAGGTCTATGATTCACAGACATTACACGAAAACGGTTTTTCTCCGGTATGTATTTTGATATGTGTTTGCAACTTACTTTTTCTAATACATTTATATTCACAATTATTACAACAGTACATTTGTTTTGCGACGTGCGCTTTAAGATGTGCCAAAACGTAACGTTTTTGAGATGTTTTAAATTCTCAAATATCACAATTAAATATTTCTCTTAGTTGTGGTACTAGAGTTTGTTCAACTTGTGTCCGAACTGCAGGGGTGTCTGAGTTCTTTTGCGTCTTATGACTGTATGAAATGTGTTTGGCGAGAATGTCTTTTGTTGAAATTTTTTTACTACAACCATCACATTAAAAAATGTATTTAGTTGATGTTCCAGATGTTGTTTTCTTGAGTATATTTACACTCTTTTGTTTTAAAATTTTCTTTTTCATTATTTTTGCAAGATGCTTTCCTTTTTTATTAATTGGTTGATAATCTTTTTTCATTTTAGGGTTTGATTCAATAGGAATTTGATTCGATGTTTTCGCCACGAACATTGTTTATGTTACAATCAGTAGAATTTGATTTAATATTCTTTTCAGAAGTTTCTGAAAAATTATTTGCCGAAGCTAAACTATTTATTTAAATTATTGCATCTTTATTGCAAGACACATTAAACAGTTCACAATGGGCGGAGTTTATGCCTTATGGGATGTTAGTTAACCCAGGGAGAGATAGAGAAATTGTAATATTTTACATAATTATACTAAATAATGTTGCTAGATATAAAGTATTTTAGCCAATTACTCCGAATAATGGCTCTCGTATTCATATTTGGAGGGAATGAATGGTTCTTCTGACCATGTTATAATTACATTAATCTAATAATCGCTGTTTCGAATTCCACACACAACTAGTGTTATACAAAAAGTACAGTCGATGTTGGCGTGTAAGTGCGGCATAAGAGAATTCATCATCACATTTATTCCCATGGGTTTCGTAAGAGGCGACGCGGCAGCTTTTGCTGTCGCACGGATGGGCCGGCTCGAACCGGGGTGGTACCACGACCTCACAGAAAACCAGCGTGAAGTAGAGGTTTACCTCTGCGTTTCGCTTGGTGAGTGCAGGTGGCCGGAGGCCCTTTTTACTGGAAATGACGCATTCCATCTTAGTCCTCACGGGTGACAACGCATCTACATTTTGATTTGTAATAGTGGATAGATGTAGATGTCTATGGGCCGCAGTAACCACTTACCATCAGGTGGACTGTGTGCTCATTTGTCACCCTTATCATATAAAAAAAAATGGGTTTGCCAATAAAAATCTAATAGCTTCCCACAGATACCGGTACAACCACTTCGATTACTGCAGGTGTAAAATATCCAGACCGGCGCCAGGCAACATTGCCAGAGGTGCTCACGTCTGGTTCTGCGATCGTCAGTCCTATGCCAAGCGTGACGCTCAAGGCAAATCCTCCCTACATCGGGAGATCTCTTTCCATTTTCAGCTGTGGAAGTTTACGGAAAGATTAAGATTCGACGGAAACCGTATTGTAGGTCACTAATCAGCTTATGCTCTCCAAAGTACCGCGTGAAATGGCAGTTAATAATGAATTCCATTATTTTGGAGAACAAGCAGGTGACGGCGAAAGGCCTGTATTTGGATAGGTCCCAGCCTTTTTTAGGAATCGAATGCACTAAAGCTCTCTTCCATAAGCTTGGAACGACACCTAAGAAGTAAGAGAATATGACATAAACATATAAATAACAAGAACATAACACAACAACTGCATTATAACTTTGTAATCTATACTAATATAATAAAGTGGAAGGGTTATCAGGCTACACATCTCAGTTAACCTTAAATATTAATTTTTGCTAACCCATCAAGCGCTAGGCCATTTTATTTTTTAAGGTCGTGAACTCGTCACATCACTCAGCTGTTATCACTTTAGTAATCGATTATCACAACTTTTTTAAATTTTACTTTGACCGATTGTGATAATTATGCACAAAGCCTGATTCATCACTACATATAATATTTACTTGACGACCACCTTTTATCTCTGTGCACTTGTGACACCGGCTTATATCAATATTATAATGTCTGAACACACGCGTTGCAGAACAAATATTTCAGACTTTATTTTTGCAAAGGCTGCGACTATTCGCATACCCATTTCCGCCCCGGTATCGAATGTTTTTTGAAATACGAAGTGACTGCTTAATCGCACCACGGAGATAAAAATCCAAAGGTGTGGGATCAGGTGATCGCGCCAGACAGTTCACCTGTTCGGTCCACCACGGCCAATCCATCTTTCACCGAATTTTCCAAGACATATCAATATATTAAAATATTCCTCGTTTAAGCAATTATTTATTCTTTGGTTTGAGAAAGACATCGGATATAAAACACTCACGCCTGTGTGAAAGAAATTTTCTTTAAAATTTCTTTCAGATTTTCATGATCAACAAGTAAAGTTAAATGATGAAAATAGCAGTGAAATAACTCAACTTCTTGCGGAAAATGTAAAATTACAATCAGAGGTACGCGTAGGAAAATGTTTGATATAATTTTTTTGTATAAATTGATTCATGGTTATATTGATTCACCAATAATCTTAGAGCGTATACATTCTTAATACTTCGTGCTAATAGTCGCGTTCTGTATCGTAAAACATTTAGTCGTCCGCTTTGTAAAACCGTTTCTCGGACAACATTCACCATTATACCGCATGTGTTCATCCAAGCAAGTTGTTGTGTAAGCTCTATCTTACACAGGGTTATTTTTCAAAGAGTAGCCAAATTTTAAACTTAAGTTCAAATATATATAAATAAAGATGCGTGGTCTTTTTCTCGCCGATCCCGCCGAACACTATGACGCGCAGTTAACTGCGTTCTTCATCGACCCGCGAGCCAAGTGATCCACCGTCCAGGGTAATAGTTTTATATGTTGTTAACTAATAAATGTTACCAAAGTTACAGGTCCGGTCTCCCGGTCCCGTATCGTCGGTATAATGTTGTTATGATACGGTATGATGTCCTCTTACGCTCGCCCCGAAATCCCGAAAGATTAAGGGGCGTGAACGTTCGAGAAACGTTTTAACGTGTATGCATTTCTTAAAGAAGAATGCGGCATTGTCAAAGCTGAAGAGGAATAAAACAGATGAAAATTTAAGGAAATACGCCAAAATCAGGAATCGCTGCAACACATTATGTAGAGATGCACAACGACGCCATATTCATACATCAGTCGAGAACGGCGACTCATCTAGGGTGTGGAAGTTTCTTAAAACAGTTGGAGTTGGTAGAACATCCCTACATGCTTCACCTCCTAGTGTTGATTTTGAACTATTAAATCAACATTTTTCTAATCCTTCTAACTCTTTTGATAGTGTCCATAAACTGCAAACACTTCGTTCTCTTTCTGTAACTCCGACTCCTAATTATCCTCCGTTCGTTTTTAGTCAGTTTACTGAATGTGATGTTAAGAAGATCATATTATACATCTCCTCAAATGCTGTCGGTAGCGACAACATTAGCCGTAATATGATTATTCCTCTCCTTGATGTTATCACTCCCATTATCACTCATTTACTTAATGCATCTGTCTCTTCCTCTAAATTCCCTCAAGCCTGGAAGAGTGCTCATGTTATACCCCTTCCGAAGAGATCTAATCCCGTCAACCCCTCTGATTTTCGTCCCATCTCGATCTTACCTTTCCTTTCTGTTCGAGACGGCCAAAATGACTGTTCACAACGGCAAAAATGACTTTAAACGAGAAAGTGATTAAGGAATATTTTATTTGTTTAAAAAATGAAAATACGGAAAAATTGACTAAATAATGTATTAAATATAGTTTCACCATGTATTTACAACTCTCAATATGTTTGTATAGAAGGTCGATTTGACAATAGTTAATATAAACAACTTTATTTTGTTTAAGAAAATATCGACCAATCACAGCGCGCCGCGCTATAGAACTTTCTGGAAATTTAAATTAACTGCGTAATAGTTTTAAGCAAAAAATTAATGAGAATAATTTTATGTCTGAAAAGAGTTGTAAATATGGTATTTAGTTAGCATATGATGTATAGATCGTTATAATAAAGAAATATTTTGTATAATTAAGCACGATTTAAAAGTTATAGGATAATTAAAGAATTAATATGACCAATTAGTGTAAAAGTTTAGGACATTTCAATGAATAACTTTGTTAAATGTAAATATATTAATTATCCTTTATCGCATACTAATGTAGAACAAAAATGTCTATTTAATGATGTATAGCATGTTAGAGTTAAGATTTGTATTATATAGAAAAGTTGCAATTTGTGCCATTTGCATAAAGAAAAATGATTGAAAATAAAGAGGCAAATGGGAATTGGCAAGCGGCTCTCTATAGAGTATAGCCGAAGTCTACCTTATGGGGGCAAATCATAGTAACATGGTAGTAGGAAGAACTACCAGTAACAAGCAGCAGTATCCGGTAGTAGCTGAAGTGACTAGTAGCAGAACACAGTGAAAAGTTAAAGTGAAATAGAAAAGTTTAGCTAGCCGAAAAAGGTCGTAACTGAAAAATCGCAGTTACACATAGTCGGAAAAAGTGGCAACTGAAAATTCTCAGTTGCACATAGAAAAATAGTGTCAGCTAGCCAAAAATAGTGGTAACTGATATTCGCAGTTACATATAGTGAAAAAGTGTTGGCTAGCTGAAATAAGTGGTAACGGAAATTTCGCCGTTACATTTCGTGAAAAGTGTTAGCTAGACGGAAAAAGTGGTAACTGATATTCGCAGTTACAAAAGTGTTTAAATTCAACTAATTTTAGTTGATTAATAGCTGCTAGTCAGTAGTGTTA